GCGGCCGGAGCCAGAGCCGCTCGGCCGGGGCTGGGCTGGCGCCCGGGCCCGGGCCGGAGCCAGAGCCGCTCGCCGGGGCCGGACTGGGCCCCCGCCGCGCCTCCTAGGAGCCCTCCTCATGCCCCCCCCACCCCTTACCTGTTGCTGCCGCCGCCTGCCCCTTTTCAGACTTCCCGCGAACATCTGATTCGCGGGAAGCAGGGGCAGGGGAGGAATGGGGCGGAGCATTCAGGGGAGGGAAGGAGTGGACAGCTGCGGGGCCCTCTTAGGCGCGAGGCCCAATTCAGCCGAATCGGCTTAAAGCCGGCCCTGACCAGGGTGTACCGGCAGCTCCCCATTGCCCTAAGTTCCCTGTGCGGCAGCCACCCAGCAGGCTATCAATTGCCAGTAGAGCTGTCCCTCCCCCGACTGCCATGTGCTGCTCCTGCCCTCTGCCTTGGAACTGCTTCCCGGAGCCTCCTGCTTGCTCTGTTTGTGCGGGGTTGGGGAGGGAGGCTAATGTCAGGGTGTCCCCCTCCCCCCTGCTCCTGCACCTCGCTTACCCCTTCTCCATAGTGCAGGGGGGAGGGGACACGACAGGGCTCAGGACGGAGGGAGCTTGCTCGCAGCACGGGCTGTCTCAACTTGCTGATCTACTTAAAAAGGCAGTGTACTTACAGTGGGGTCAGCGTACTTAAAGGGGCAATGCGCATCTCTCTCTCTCACACACGGTGTGTGTCTCTGTCTCTGTCTGCCATGCTGCACCACCTCAACCAAGCTTCACAATCATCATCGCTGTGTACCAGTATTAAATTGTTTGTTTAAAACTTATACTCTGTGTGTATGTGTGTATATATATATAATTTTGTCTGGTGAAAATTTTTTTCTTGGAACCTAACCCCCCTATTTACATTCATTCTTATGGGGAAATTGGATTCACTTAACATCATTTCGCTTAAAGTTGCATGTTTCAGGAACATAACTACAACGTTAAGCGAGGAGTTACTGTACTTAATAAAGTTCTAGTAAAATAGGTATTTTACAAATAACACATTTCTAGAAAGCACCTGGTTTAAAGACTAAAACACATCTTGAAATGCTAGTATAAACAGGGCATGAATCATTATTTCTGGTGTTTGAACTCCAGCAATGGATACATGATGAGCATTCATATCTTTCTTTGGATTTACTAGTAAACAGATTGTTCCACTGGAAGTCACTGGTGTGCATCCCTCATAGAATCAGGTTTCTATTTTCCTTGGCAGTGAACAGAAGGGGTTTTTCTATGCTGTGACATTCATCTTAGAAGTGCAGAGTATCTTTGAACAGTCATTCAAACTTAGAATCTCAGCAATGAACTCATGATGATAGCCCTTTCTGGTGTATGAACAAAACAAATGTGTGTTCTGTTGAAATTGCACCTGTCCAAATTGAGCCTTTGTTTGTGCGTGGTGTACAAATTCATGAAAAGGCGTGTGGCTTACTCTGAAGTGTTTTTACTGGTTATATCATTTTATGTATGATTTATTTTCCTAGCTTACAAAATACAGCGATACAGTGGCTGAAATCTTAGTGACCATCATATTAACAAACTTTGAACAGCTTCAGATTAAGAGAACTGCACCAGACTTTCACTATGTAACCTTGATCATAGGAGATGCTGATAATCAAGTGGTTTTTAAACATAAAATTATGTAAGTGTGATCAGTCATGTTATTTACATCTTTAGGAATGTCATTTTGTATTATTTCCATGAAGAGTCAAATAATATGTAGCTGGTGTAACATTTTTTTATATTAATGAGACTAACCAAATCTCTATCATTTTAGTGGAAGTCCTGCTGCAAATGGATTCCCTAGGCCTGATCCTCTGTTGCTTTGTGCACTGTGTAAAATGGGCATAAAGTGCTTCCTGATTTCGTAGTATTTTACACTTGCTTTGCACTGGTGTAAATGGCTAAACAAACGCAGTGCAATAGTCATGCCATTCTAAATATCTGTGTAATTATGTTATCAATTTTATTGATTATATTGAAGCCAAAAGCATCCAGTTTTAATATAAATATACAAAATTTACATTACTTAATGCTAATAGAAAGGAAGCTTTTGAATTGTTACTCATGAAAATTAGGTACTGAATTATTTACATAGGCAGCACTTGCCTACCTTCCCTACACTGGTTTTTTTCACCTGGCGAAGGAATTAGACACTCTCTCTCCAGTTGGATGAGCTGTACTTGAAGGGAATGGGAAACAAAGAGTAAAATAAATCTTCTCCAACTAGATGACCTGAACTTGGGTCCTGATCAAGTCCTCACAAAGAGGAAGGCTTGCTCTTTGCACCTTGCATCTTCAGGACCCTGGCTATCTTAGGGCTGCAGGCTGTGTGGGCACATTCTATTGAGAATGTTTTTAAGAGACCCTTCATCAGTTAGATCCCTTGAATCAAAACTGCTCTATGGTCTTTTACTAGATTTCCATACTGCTAGCATCACAAATAACGTGACTTCTTTTAATAAAATGTTTACCACTATCTTACTGTCCATTGTGTATACTTAATATCATTATATTATTATATGTTGCAGGGATTCTGTCTTGCTGAAAAATGGAAATTGGACCAAAAAAATTGAAGTGAAAAGAGCTCTTAAATCTGACGAACTTAGCATAAATTTAATTAGCTCTGAATATGGTAGGTTTATTGATATGAATATACTTTTAAAGATGTTGAATAAATAGGGAAACCAGTTTCCTTTATACCAAGCCAAAAATTTAATAAAAATGAATTAATTTTAAAATAATATTCTATTCATTGTTTTATTGTATGGCATACTACACTAAAAGCATTAATAATGAGATTTTTCTAATGTAACTGTTTCATCTAAATGTCATATACATTACCAGTCATCTCTCCTTGCTCCCTAGGATTTAACCCGAGCCCTTCTTCCCGAAACTCTTTAGAAGATGACTCCAAAACACTTCACCCCATCCATCCCCAAAGTTTTCCAATCTCCTCTCCATCAGTTCTGAGCCACTTACCAATTCATCATATCAGATTTGCCTGATTTAACATTGATTCTCTTAATGGCAAATCCCTCCTAGTCTTTTAACCTTGTGTAGATTGTTCTGTTGTCCAAAGCTGTAAATATTAATAGCATTTAACATCAAAAGTACTATCAGCACTTAGTTGTACTTCTTGTGTAGCTGCAAATAGTGCTACTAATGTTCCCTAACAGCAGCTTGCAATGCAATGCTAAGGAGGTGAAAATTGTTTAAAATTGGATCAGAAATGCCCAAGACACAGTTCCACTTCCTAAAACAAATACATATACACATGTTAAAGTGAACAGTGTATACTGTACAGATTAGCTAAATTATTCTTGTAGGAACCATAACTTTAAATTTCCAGATTTTTTGTTTGTTTGTTTAAATCTCAATCACAACATTAAATGCAAAATACTATATTACTATAATGGTAAATTATGAAAACATACTGTATAACACTGTTCATTATAAAATTGGAAGTACAGTAAATGGTAATTGAAAAATATTTTTTTATATTTACATAAACATTTTTGTGGATCATTTCTAAAAGTTGGGGTGGATATTCAGCAAAACTATTCAGCCTTTTACTTAGGACCAAAAAGGTTTGGAAATGAAGTGGTTTTACAAAGAAAATTAGAAGCTGAGTCTTCACCTATGTATCATGCCTCTTCAATAAGATCAGCAGCAGCGAGAAAGGATACAGGTAATTAATAATACTCTAAAGAATAGAGTCCCACATCCTGCACCTCTTGAGGTCAATGGAAGTTTGGTCAGTTACTTCAATATGAGTAGGACTGGGCCCCGTATTTGGTCATCTTTCCTCACTTTTGAGTAAAATGTTGTATGAAAACACACTAGAATATATTAAGGAATGTAGTATACAATGGCTTTGAATCTGGTATAGACAATTAGGACTATTTCCATCGAGTCCCAACAAGGGCATAGAGTGTTGCTCCATTGGCTCAACAGGTAGTGCATTACGTTTCCATAGGGAACTGAATTTGGGAGAGAAGTTGGACATCTAGTACCTCATGCTTTCAGAGTTTTAGAGTGGTGTTGAGGTGATGCTTACAGCTTTTAGTGGGGACAATTATTGCTTTGCTATGAAAACAGTCTTAGCAACCCAAAGGGGAAGTCTCTCTGGCAAACATGTAGCAGCTGACTTTTTTGACCCAAAAGTTATTTAGAGGTGAACAAAAATCTAATGCCATGGATTACTTTGTTCCTTTTTCTCCCTGAGAAACCCTCAACAAAATCAGTGAAATAGAAAAAGTCAGCATTTCTTCTTCTTATATTACCTCAGGAGGTGCCTGTAACCGAGAGATCACCTACATGAAACTTGGGAACAGAGAATGCAGCCATCACTGTAAAAATAAAGATGTATGTGGACATGACTGCTGTGAGTTTCATGAAAACTCATTATTTCTAACATCTAAATTCAAAGGATCTAATTCCCTCATTTACACAAGTGTAAATTAGGATTTTGTTGATATCTATGGTGACATTGGTGTAAAAAGAGTACAAAGCAAGAGAATCATGCTTTAAAATGTCAATATAATGCAATCTAAAAAGTAAAAATTATTAATAAATAACTGCAGTAGAATTATTCTGTAGTGAATACAATGAAGAGTAATATTTTACAGAATTCGATAGCAATGTCAAGCTTCTCATATTTTTGTATGAAAACAAATGCATCAAAATTTGTCTTTTATAAAACATCAAAGATGAAATCTTAGCCCTGTTGAAGTCAAAATTCCCATTGACTCAAATAGGGCCTGTATTTTACCCCTAAAATTTAATCTGAAGAATCTTCAATTCCTTTTCTTAGGTAAAGTTGGAGTTTCACAGAAATCTGAGTTAAAGAGAGATTCAAAGTTTTCTTCATACCTAGCTGATTTAAGGAACAGAAACTCAATTTCATCAGTTCCCCCAGTAAAACAATTAAAGGTTCGTTTTAACGTACACACTCCTGAAAAAAAAATTATTTAATCATGTTTATTGAATATATAAGTATTGGTAGATTGAAGGTATTTTATTAAACACATATAGACACATAGGTTCAAATGTATCCCATTGCTGTGAAATATGGAAATAGCGAAGGAGCACAAAAAGGATGGGAAAGGCCCAGTAATCTTGGAAGGGTATAGCTGCTAAGTGGTATGCTTCCCATGAGCCTGTGGAAGCCTTTCTCTGCAAACACTGCCTGATTTGTACTCCGCAGGTTTAGGAAAGTATAGTGGACTGAGTAGCAGGCATAGCTGGAAGCCACCACTCTATGTGACGACCTAGGGAAATACTACCTGAAATTATAAGTAAAAATTAATACTGGTGTCCTGAGAGAATTATGCTGCCAGAGGAGGTTTTAAGAGTAACATTCTTTTTAGATTCTTAGACTCCACAGAGTTTCAAGGCTAAGCACTTTGCCCCCTGGATGTGCCTGCAAACCCCTCTTCCATATGGGGAGAATGTGGCATCTGAGTTTTTGCAATGCTTATTTCCCCCTCCCTGCAGGTTTTTCTGCAGTGGAGGATGATTTGGCCCAGAGATAACAGAGAAAGAAATGTGGTTAACAGTCTGGGCTTGCTGAGATACTTGCATTACTCCAAAATCTCACTGGCTAAATTGAATAATGTGCGTAATAAAACTTTAAAAAAAATCTATTCCATCAAATAGCTGTACATTTTGTGCATTAATTCTATAAAATATGAATAATAACTTTCTTCCTATAATGCCTTCCCTATTCTTTGGAAAGTGCAAGTGATGTGATCCAGACTATTAAAATACAATAATACACTAATCATCTGTAATGATCTTTTTTTAGATGCAGATACAGTTAAATAAATCTCAAAATGTGGATCTGAAACAATTTGTTTTTACACCGAAATCTTTGTTGCCAGCATTGCCAAGGTACTATATTATTGCTATAAATATAATAGAATTTAAAACCTGCTCAGTTAAAATTCTCTCATTGGCATAAGCAGTGAAGACGTGTTTTCTGAAGCAAATTATTTTTAAAATGCAACTTTCTTGTGACTCTGTTTTACTGGTTTGTATGAAGGTCTGACGATATACAGTCTTCTGCCTCAGCTTCACGAGAACACTGGAATAATGTTAATATCCTTGGTGGACCTCAGAACCAACTTCAGTCAGAGAGTTCTGAAAAGAGTAGTAAGTTATTACTAATGTATGAGATTTTCTATGATTTTTTTCATTGTTTTGAATTAAATGTTTCTTGCAAAATTAAACCTGTTGAAATCACTACAGCAACCACCATAGTGCTGCAGGGAACTGCATATTTAGGGCAATACAATACGCTCTGTCAAGGCAAGGAACTTGCTTTGACATTGGCTTTTCTTCTAAAATCAATTAAAGTTGCAAGCAGAGCTCTCAGCCAATAAATGTCCCTTAAAGGAAAACTCTAGTGGTTAGTTCTAATACTTTAGGGCCTAATTCTGTAAATACTTATTACTGAGTTTGATGCTTATGACTGTGCTTATTCCCATTGATGCCAATTGTAATGCATCAGATAGTTTATCTCTATCTCCTTCTGCTTTCCACACACCTTTCCCATCATCAGTGGAGTATCTGAGTGAAAAGTGAGCATTATGCTTTGTATTGTTTGCTGGGTTGGGCCCTTAAAACAGCTAAATTAACATTTAGTAAAACCTCTCACTCTATCTATATTAAAAACTGAAGTTTTATTTTAATACCTTTCAAGGTTCTAATTTCTCCATAAATGTGAGTATATCTCAATAATCAATGAAACTTTACTGCTGCTTCCCATCACTGTTGATGAAGGTCCCAATCCTACCACATAAGCTATTTTCACATACATACACTGCATATTACGTGCTTTCCATTTCTAGCACATGCCGATTTACAGTATACAATTGTGTTCTATTTCCAGTGTTCAAAAGATAGCAGTATTTTCTACTTATTTTGCTAACATGAATGTGTATCTCCAGAAGTGTACTGCCGCCACATCTGCTCATGCTCATTTCTGCTACTCATGCAGTGAAAGGAAATGGAAACCCTTCCATTCTGCATTGTACTCTCAAATAATGTTTTAGTTCAGCTATCTTAACATATTTTAGTTAAATGCTTTTAAAATTAATTATTTAAAATGTGTTTGTTTGCTGTGATTAGTTCTTGGGGAGTTGAATTTATAGGAGAGGGAGACAGTGAGTAAGACTAAATAGAGTGAATAAAGAGCAAATGAATGAGGGAAGGTAAAGGGACTGGGCTCATCAGTGTTAAACTTGCACTCCACCAGACCATAATTCTCACACTGGAAAAAAAATTAAATCAGAGGTGACTTGAAATATTCTTTATAAGGGTCACTTGCTGGAATTTGGAGTGAAGATGACTTTTCTTAAAATAATGTTGAGAAAAAGTGTGTAGCTAACATAGTTTGCTTTTTTTTATAGGTTGAACAAATAGTCTTAAGCATGCAATCCAGAGTTTTACATCCCTATTATAATTGCATTACAGATTTCTCTTGGGAACATTCTGTGACTGTAAGTGAGGAGAGCCATCAGACGATGACGTCAAAGAAAAATCTTAAAGAATCTTTAATGCATAATTTTACTAATGCAGATAAAAGCAGCTCTTGGTTTTCAGAGGCTTTGAATGTGAACTTTGAATTGGGAGATGAAGTTTGGGATGATTTTGATGATGACAAATTAATACATGCTAGCAGCTTTTTCACTGGTGCGGAGAGTAGAGAAGATTTAGGTAAAATTATTTTGGTGTAACCTATTGTTTATAATTGTCACTGTATGTACCAAATGGACAGTGCACCAGATAATCTTCTTCAAATTAACTCTTCACCCCCTTTTTGTTAAAAGTAATTAATTATGATCTAAAGTAAAATTTAACTTAAAATCTGTGGGTAACTTAATTGACCATCTAGAATTGTAGTTTAAAGACAGATTTTTCATTAAAGATTACTGCAGCCTAAATATCAAAGATGGTTTTCTACTGAACCTTCATTCACAGTCTCAGAAGTTGGGTATTTGTTAAAATGATGAGCAGGTAAATAGTTAATGTTTTCACTTCAATTGTCACCAATTTGGTACAATTAATTGTAGGTCTTACCAACAAATTATAGACTCAGCACCTGCTAGCCCTCTGAATTATCATAGACTTCAGAGGTTTTAAGATCAACAGATTTTGCCTTTTTCCAGCAGGCAAGTTCTACTATCTAAATGCTGTGAAATTACTTTGCAACTGCCAAACATTTCTCCCTTCCTGTGGCCTGAATTACAGACACCGTATCCACCCTTTTCCCATACATTATATCCTAATCAGGTTAATGGACCTGATTCCATGTGTATTATTCCCTATTCAGAATCACAGTCTGAAGCAGGTTCTTTCTGATTGAGTCCATAACCAATCTCTCTCACAAAGATAGGTGACTGGAAGAGCCTCCACAGTATTAGATTAGAATACAGATTGGGAGAATGGAAAGTTTCCTTTCTTTCCCTGTGTCTCCATGTAAATATTCACATTTTAGGCCCATTTCTAGAAGGTGCAGAGCACCTTCAAATCTCAATGAAGTAAATGGAATTTGCAGAATTGGGCTTACTCACCAGGGCCTGGGTAGGATAGCTTTATCAAGATGCATGCTTCAAGTTGGAAGAAGAATGGTTCCTGAGAATTAAGAATTGTTTTGGCCTTCCTGCTTTCTATGTTTCAATAAGTGGTATGGTTTTGAAGACAAAATAAACCTTTGTTAAATTGCATATTTAATTATGCATTCATTGTTCTCACAAGTGAATGTAACCATAAATGACCTTGCAATGTATTTCCTTCTGTTCTTCTGCAGCTATATACATGCTTAAAATCAATAGAAAAGCTATCTAAAGGAACAAGTGTATTAAAAGTCTCCAAATTATCATGAAAGTCAAATGATAGATCAATTCAGAATTATTGTGATAATTTTGTAAATATGTGAATTTGTTGGTTTTTTATTTATGCTGCAGTGTTGATAAACGTAAACTTTAAAATTAATCGTCTTAACAGCATCAGAACAAGTAACAAATGTTAAGTTAAAGTCTTAGAATAGGCTGCATCTACACTGCAAAATGTGACTCTTAATTCACCCCTGGTGGTAGCAATGGCAGGAGCTGTAGCATAGATAGGGCTCAAGCAGACTAAGTTGTTTTCACCACCATTTTGTCTATCCCCACTCTGAGCAGAGTTGAACAATACAATGGTAAAAACACCTGTCTAAATTAGTTTCTTCTTTGAATGGTGGTCCCTATGTGTATTCCACATGTGGGCACACAGGCGCGTCATGCACCTGAGACTAGAGATTTCTAGCAAATAATGTTTGTTGGACCACACTTGTGCAGTGGTTCTCATGTTCCATACCGAAGGTATAAGGGGTGATTTGAACTGACACCTCTCCAGTTCCTTCTTACTGCAGCATGGCCTGAGTCAGAATCCTCTGTCTCCAAAGAGTATTGTCTACCTATCTATAAACATCTTGTACATAGTTCTAGTATTTTACCATTTTAGTAGTTTCCCCCACCTCAGGGACCTTTCCCATTTTTCCCTTTGGGAGAAGGACTGTGCCCAGAGTTCCAAGGTTTAAGAACTGTCTCTCCTATACCTGCTCCTTCTCGATCAGTGATGAACACTAATGCTGCCTTTACTGTCTTGGGGAGGCTTATATCTCTGCCAAGTGCAGCAACAGCTGCTGCTTCCCTCCCTGAAACTGAGATGGACGAGAACTTTGACTGAGGAAGTATCTTGTGGAGAAGGCCATGAGACTCCCATCAGATCCAGGCTGGGGAGAATTCCCTGTACATCGGTTTCAGGCTGTGAGCAGTGCCCCTTTGAGGACAAGCTCTGGAATAGAGGCCAGAGTTGTTAAGCCCAACTTCTGAAGGAATCATTAGCTTAGGCCTTTCATGAGAGTAAGGGGCACTCTCATAGACATAAGAACATATCCCCTTCTAAATCTGCTCTTAAAAGAAAGGATCCCTTTCTGTCTCTGTTCAAGTTGTGAGAGTCCTAAAAACTTAGGTCCACCTAAATCTTTTGGCCACAAGGGTAAGGTGCGAAGGAGAAAGGATCCGTTGGTTCTGGCTCTGGCTCCAACTCATAAGCTGAAAGATCAGCACCAACTGAAATTTCCAAGTTGGACTCCTCTTTGATGATAGTGATTGACTCCCATCAGGGTCCACTGATGACCATCCCCATAGTCACACTAGATCCATCGGTTCTGACTACCATAATGCTTTGCACTCAGGGACAGACTGAAACTTAACTCTGTGAGGGTGAGATAAAGCAAAAATATCCTCCAACCTCCTCCTCTTCTTCAAGTGCTTACTCATGTCCATTTCATATTAGGTGTGTGTGCTCGCCACATGCACTGGTGCCGAAAGTTTTTCCCTCAGTAGTATCTGTAGTGGACCAGCTCTGGCGCCCTCTGACTCCTCCCATCCTCAGTTCCTTCTTGCCGCCAGTGACGGTGCTGGAACGTCTGTGCTCATTCAGTGTTTCTTATGAAAGTTTTCCTGTAAAATAGTTGTATGTAGCTAATAGTTCCCTTAGTGTTGGCTCTAATTTAGCCAGACCTAGACGGGACTCATGTCCCGGTCCCCATGCTTTAAGCTTGTGATCGTTGTAAGCGGCCTATGCCCATCAGCGACCAGCACAGTAGCTGTTTAAGGTGTCTGGGCGAAGGGCACATAAGCGACAAAGTATCACATCGGTAAATCCTTTAAACCCCAGACAAAAAAGAAGAGAGACATCCGTCTCCAGGCACTCCTGATGGAGTCAGTGCTAATGCCGACACTGAACCAGAAATCTGACTCGGCCCTGAGCACCGCAGCGTCGGTGCGGAGTGCCCTGCCAGCGCCGTCTAAAAGCTGGCACCAATCCCCCTTCCTGGTTCTGGCCAAGAAGCCAAAGAGGACCATAAGGGGAAGATCTCCCACTTCCCAAACTTGGGACGCCGCTTGTTTAGGGAAAGCCCCTGGCGGGCCGGGCCGGCTTGTTTACCTGCCCAAATCCGCAGGTCTGGCCGATCGCGGCTCCCAGTGGCTGCGGTTCGCTGCTCCAGGTCAATGGGAGCTGTTGTAAGCAGCGGCCAGTACGTCCCTCGGCCCGCGCCACTTCCAGCAGCTCCCATTGGCCAGGAGCGGCGAACCACGGCCAGTGGGAGCCGTGATCGGCTGCACCTGCGGACGCGGCAGGTACACAAACCGGCCCGGCCCACCAGGGGCTTTCCCTAAACAAGCGGCATCCCAAGTTTGGGAAACACTGCCATAAGAGAAAGGAGAGGGCCGGAGGAGAGCTAAGACCTGTGCTGGGCGACTCAGCACCTCCGTCAGGGAGTCGGGCCCCAGCTCAAGTTGAGCGGTCTAGCCCATCCCGTAACATGCCTGCCATGCCAGACCGTGACAAGGGCCTCTGTCAACTGGAGGTCCCATTGACACCCGACGCCCTGCAGGCAGCGCAGTAGATCCTGATGCTACCAGTGCCACACACACTGGCTCTGGCAGTACCCCAGTGCAGGGATAAACCCGCCTTGGGATCTCCCTGTGTGTCACTTCCTCAGCAGCACCGCTCCCCATCAGAAGTTGGGAGGCCAGCTCAGCGAAGCCCTCTTCAGGCTCCGGACCCTGGACACCGACAGCAGGATTCGAGGCACAGCTCGCCGGTAACCTGGCACATACCTACAGAGGCACACGCCCCCCGGCAAGAGCATCAAGACTGGCCCTTCATGTCTCCAATGCCTCGGCACTGATCATGCGACTGATAGTTTGAGCAGAGCCACCAGTCACTCACCCGCTGACACCTGTTGTCAAGACGCGGATCCCCACGGTGAGGGAGATCCAACAACTGGCCCATTCCAGCTCCCGAGCCCAGTCTAGATCCCGGTACCAGTCGAGCAGCATGAGGCGTAGATCGACGGATTACCCAACGACGATCGGCCAAATGCTGCCAGTCCCCAAGGTCCTGCGTGAGGAACTCGTCTCGATCGGACAGGTCTATGTCTAGGCATAGCAGCTGGCACTACACAGAGAAGGGCCAACAGTCTGCCCGATCATGGTCACCTGACAGCAACCACTCTGCTTCTGGCTCTGGCACTGAGCAGGAGTCCTTGACATTGGGACAAGCCCTGGCACCGGCGGTACCATTTACGTCATCGGCACCGCAACCAACCCCGTGGCTCCAAGGCCAGTGGCCAGTGGCCTGGTAACCCTGGAACCCTTGGGAGTTTACCCAGCCTTCGCAGGCCATCCGGTCAATGTTGGGAGCCTCGGATAGGCCATTTGGCTTCAGCATCCCACCCTTCCCGGAGGTGGAGGCCCCAGAAGAGAAGACCCCCCCAGGCCCATGAGGACCCAGGGGAACAGCCAGAGGGACCACCAGAGGATATGACAGCTCCTATGGCACTGGCTTCTTCCTCATCGTCTCCAGGCAAAGCTATTATGGGTCCTCCTCACCCAGTTCCACAAGATAATGCTAAAGCTCATCAAGAACTATTGAAGAGGGTCGCCTCCAACCTGGGCTCCACAAAGGAGCTAGAGGAGCCAGCAGACACCCTGTTCAGCGTCCTTTGCTCTACGGCATCTGCTAGGGTGGCTTTGCCCCTATATGAAGAGGTATCGAAAATTACTAATGTCCTATGGCAAATCCCCTCCTTCCTGCCCCCATTTCAAAATACTTTGTGCCAGCTAAAGGTCACGAGTACCTGTACACTCACCTGGTCCCAAACTCACTCGTAGTTGAGGCTGTTAATCAGAGGGAGAGGCAGGGTCAAATCAGGGCTACGCCCAAGAATAAAGACTTGAAGAGACTGGATCTGTTTGGGCGAAAAATTTATTTGTCTTCCAGCCTTCAATTTGTGGTCCTCCTATTCGGACTACTGACAGCACCGAGGGTGTTTACCAAATGCATGTCGGTGGTAGCCGCTTACCTCAGGCGTCGGGGTATCCAGATCTACCCATACCTCGGTAACTGGCTCATCAAAGGCCACTCCAGTTCCCAAGTCCAAAGGGATGTTAAGGTGCTGCAGGCCACCTGCTGATCCCTGGGCCTGCTTGTAAATGACAAAAAGTCGACATTAGTTCCGGTGCAGAGAATAGAGTTCATCAAAGTGGTGCTCGACTGCACATGTGCCAGGGCATTTCTGCTGCAGGAGAAGTTCCAAGCGTTGGTGGACCTCATTGCGGGAGTCTATGCGTTCCCCTGACCATGGCTAGGGTTTGCCTTTGCCTGCTGGGCCACATGGCAGCATGTACGTATGTCGGTCACCATGCCAGGCTCTGGATGCGCCCCTTACATCTGTGGCTGGTGACGGTCTATTCCCAGTTCAGAGATCACCTGGAAAAGGTCGTTACCATCCCACTGACGATACTTACCTCGCTGCAATGGTGGACCAGCCCCAGGGCAGTCCTGGAGGGAGTTCAATTTGAAAGCCCTTGTCACAAGATGGAGTTGATATCGGACACCTGGGACCTCGGCTGGGGAGCACATCTCGACGACCTTCAGACCCAGGGCATGTGGTCCCCAGAAGAGATGATGTTGTAGATAGATGTCAAAGAGCTGAGAGTGGTCCGCTTGGAATGAGGAGTCTTCTTACCGCACCTGATGGGCAAAGCGGTGAGAGTGATGGACAACACAGCCTTGATGTTCTACATCAACAGGCAAGGGGGAGCACGCTTGTCGGCTCTCTGCCAAGAGGCATTCCATAAGTGGCATTTCTGCATCAGCTACAAGATCCACTTGGAAGCTTGTCATCTTCCCAGCATCAGAAACATACTGGCGGATCACCTCAGCAGGTTCTTCTACTCTCATCACGAGTGGTCGCTCCACCCGGAGGTAGCCTGCATGATCTTCCAGAGGTGGGGATCTCCCCAAGTGGACCTGTTCGCCACCAGACAAAACAGAAAATGTCATCGTTGTTCTCTGCAGGGTCTGGGCAAGGACTCTCTCTCTGATGCCTTCCTCCTGTCGTGGTCTGGGAGCCTGATGTCTGAGTTCCTGCTAATTCTGGTCATCAGTAGGGCCCTGGCAAAGATCGAGCGAGACAAGGCACAAGTTATCGTGATCGCCCTGGCATGGCCGTGCCAGCACTGGTTTGGCCCCTGCCCAACCAACTGGACCTGCTGTCTCAGGACCATGGGCGTCTCATACATCCCAATCTCGGCCCCCTCCACCTCTCGGTGTGGAGGCTATGTGGCTGAACCTGGAGGAGAGGACCTGCTCTGTTGAGGTCCAACAGGTCCTCCTGGGAAGTATGAAGCCTTCCACTAGAGCGACTTAACCTCGTCCCCTTGGCCAGGTTTCCCACTGGGCGTCCGAGCATGGTATCTCTCTGTTGCGCTCATCCGTACAGTCTATCCTAGACTGCCTTCTCCATCTGAAGAACCAGGGTCTGGCACACTCTTCAATCAGGGACCCTCTTGCGGCCATCTCCGCCTTTCACCCTCCGATCCAAGGTCAGATGGTGTTCTCTCATGACATGTCGGTCAGATTCTTGAGAAGCCTCGAGAGCCTCTTCCTGCTAGTCCAGGCTCCTGTCCCCACAGTGGGACCTTAACTTGGTTCCTTCTAGGCTCACAGGCCCACCCTTTGAGCCGTTGGGCTCCTGTTCCCTTTCCCACCTGTTATGGAAGGTCACCTTCCTTGTAACGGTAACGTCAGCGAGACGAGTCTCAGAGATTAAAGCCCTGACGTTAGAGGCCCCATATACGGTGTTCTACAAGGACAAGGTTCAGCTGCGACCACATCTGACCTTTCTGCTGAAAGTGGTGTCTTCCTTCCATGTTAACCAGGACATCTTCCTCCTGGTATTTTCTCCCAAGCCACACACCACTAGTGAAGAAAGGAGGCCGCATGCCCTGTACATCAGACGTGCCCTGGCATTTTACCTGGAGCATACCAAGCCTTTCCGCAAGTCGACCCTGCTCTTCATTGTGACAGCGGACAGGATGAAGGGCCTTACGGTGTCCTCGCAGAGGATTTCCAACTGGGTCACCTCCTGCATCCGGACCTGGTACGAGCTGGCACAGGTCCCACCACCGCCAATCGTGAGGGCCCACTCGACCAGAGCTCAGGTGTCCTCGGCGGCCTTCCTGGAGCACATTCCTATCCATAGTCCCTCAGGAAGAGAGTATCCAATTCCAGGCTCTTATTGATGAGGGCAAACTGGTAGCTAAGACATCATTGCAAGCGGCATGGACGCGGCTGACACCACACCTAGATCCATAGCCACAGTGACAGTTACGAGACATGAATTGTGGCTCCACTCTTCGGAGTTCTCCAGGGAGGTACAGAGTACCATTGAGGACTTGCCCTTTGAGTCTCATCACTTTAATGAGAAGACAGATGAGTCACTACACCCATGAAAAGACTCAAGACAGTCCCATACATCCTGGGTAGTTATACCTCGGTCCCGAAGAGGAACCACCACAAACAGATGTGTAAGTCAAGGCCTCTTCACCAGCCTTTCTGTCACCAGCACTTATATGAGCCATCATGCAAATTCCAGAAAGGACAAAGACTGAGGTATGCAGCCTCCTCAACCTCAGCCACTCAAACCCATCTGCTGTCCAAGGGTTACTGTTGATGGGAAGCTCTAGAACTGCATACCATTACTGATGGCATCACTTGTCGCCCATCCTCCCGCAAAATTTTGGTGTCCATCTAGTGTACTTTGCACACAACTGGAGGACAATAACAATGAAGAAGTGGGTACAAGATATCCACTCTGGCTACACTGCTGAGTTCCTTTCCCCTCCTCTGAACAAACCCCCTTCCTGGCCTCTCCTCAGGGATCTCCTGAGGAGATCCTCTGGCAGGTGGTGGATTTTCTCCTCCAAAGGGGGTCTATGTTTTCCCTTCAACATCAAGGGAAACAGTTCTACTCCCAGTATTTCATACTATATCCATACTATCAGATTCCTTACGCGAATCACAAGGACCTTCCCACCAGTAGTGAAGCCAACACTGCAATAGGACCTCAGTCTTGTACTTTCAATATTTACCAAGCCACCCTGTAAACCATTGGCCATGTGGTCGATGTCTGTATACTTGAAGTCACCTTTCTCATTGCCATCACATCATCCAGAAGGGTGAATGAACTGGGAGCACTTATGAATGATCTACCATACACCACATTTCATAAGGAGAAGTTTTCCCTTCACCTTTTACCCAAAGTTCATCCCTAAGATAATTTCTGAGTTTCACATAAATCAATCTATTCACTTACTTGTATTCTTTCCAAAACCTCATGTTTCCAGTGAGAGAAAGGAGACTTCTGGACATTAGACAGGCTTTAGCAGTCTACCTTCAAAGAGTGAAACCAATCAGGAAAATGTCTACATTTTTTGTCACTATAGTAGAGTGATCATGGGGACAAGTATTATCTGCTCAGAGACTCTCTAAGTGGATCTCTGGCTATATCACTCTTTGTTATCAGTTGGCACATCTCCTTTCTCTGGGGGGAAGGACCCACTCCAGTAGAGCACAGGCAATCTCAATAACATCTCTTCAATAAGTACCTATACTGGATATTTGTAAGGCAGAAACCTGAAGTTCCATCCCTACCTTCACAAAGCATTACACCTTATTCCAAGCCTCTTCTGCAGATTCAGCAGCTGGGACAACAGTATTACAGACATATATATCAACTGCATCCTCACACCCCTTCCTCTTTGAGTACCACTTACCAGGTATGGAATATACATTAGGGACCAGCACTCAAAGGAGAAATGGAGATTTCTTTAAGTGCTTGCTCATGGCCATTCCATGCTAGGTGTGTGCATGCCATGTGCACAGTTGCCAGAGATTTTTCCCTTCATGGTATCAGTAGGTTTGGCTCTAGCACATCATGGAGCTGCACGAGTATGTGCCAGTATAAAGGGTGCCGCCAGCTCTGCACCCTCTCAGTTCCTTCCTACCGCCCATGATGGTTACTTGGAACAATCCTTCTTGCTAGGCTTCTTTCCCAGTGGTATGGACTTTGTACTATATTGTATAGTTTTTGTAGTTATATAGTTCTTACCTAGTGTTAGTGTATATTGTGTGAATAGTAGTCCGTGTCGTTGAGGGACTTTCATCAAGCTTCAAGCCATGTGCCTCCTGTGACAAGCCCAGTAAGTGACCCACATTCTAGTATCGAAAGTGCCTTGGGGAAACTCATGTTACGGAGATGTGCCAGATCTGCAGGGGCTTCAGACTGTGCACTCAAAAAGATAGAGACGTTCATCTGAAGGCCTTACTCATGGAGGCAGCCCTCAGAACAGCCTCAGAGGTGAGCTGCTCCGAATCGGCACTCTGTACTTCGGCTTCCATGCGAAGCGCTCCACCGGCACTGTGCTTTTCCCTGCACCATTCTCCATCCCCGGTGCCAAGGAATAAGCATAAGAAATACCGTGCTGAGAGTGGGCACTCTCTGGTGCTGAAGAGTGACAAGCGGGGACTGACTAGAGCATTGAGTCCCACGCTGGATCACTTGTCCTTCCCAGAGCCTCCGTTAGCTCCAGCGACTCCACCTAGACATGGAGTCCAGTCCAGGGCCCACCCCTGACTCCCAGGAGCGGTTGTGGGAACTCGTGCCTGCGGGCCCCTTCAACTCCGGAGGCTTTCCAGTTGGCAAAGGATCTGATGTCCCTCCCAAACCCACCCACCCCCCAAGGTCCCCTGACGGCCACGGCCACCGGTAATAGAAGGGATCAAGGGGCGGTGAGCTCCATCGTGGCACCAACCATCATAGCACCATCTAGAGGAAAACCCTCTAAAGTCCCATTGCAACAGTTTCCAGCCCGTCATTGGTCACCAGTTCCCTGGCACCACCTGGAGGCGGACGCGGATATGGCGCCTCCGTGGTCTCTGAGGGAAGACCCTTTGAGCCATTAGTATCTTGTTCTGTCTTGGAAGGTTGCTTTCCTAGTGGCAATCACCTCGGTCAGAAGGGTCTCCAAGATCAAAGCCCTGCTGTCAGAACCCCCTTATACAGTGACCAAGGACAAGGTCCAGCTGTGCCCCTATTCAGCCTTCCTACCAAAGGTGGTGTCACAATTCCACAACAACCAGGACATTTTTCTGCCTGTTTACTTCCCAAAACTTCACAAGACTGCTGAGGAATGTCAGCTCCATACATTAGGCCTTCTATATTGAGAGGAGTAAGCCCTGTATCCGGGTTTGTTACGAGCACGTGAAGGTTCCGTCTCCAGCCACTGTGACTGCTCATTCTACGAAAGCTCAGGCTTTGTCAGTGTTCCTCGCACAAATACCACTCCAGGATATCTGCAGAGCCGCGACATGGTCATCGGTTCATACCTTCGCGTCCCACTGCGCCATCACTAGCAGACACGTGACAATGCCAGTTTTGGAAGAGTGATGTTTCAGTCAGCAGGTCCATAAACTCCAAGCCAACCTCTGAGGGTACTGGTTGTGAGTCACCTAACATGGAATGGATGTGAGCAAGCACTCAAAGAAGAAAAAATGGTTGCTAACCTTTTGTAACTATTGTTCTTCAAGATGTGTTACTCATGTCCATTCCGTGACCCACCCTCCTACCCCTCTGTTGGAGTTATTGGCAAGAAGAAACTGAGAGGATACGGAGCTGGCAGTACCCCTTATACCAGAGCATACATGCATGGCTCTGGGGGTGCTAGAGCCGGTCCTATGGATACCACTAAGGGAAAAATCTCTGGCAACTGTGCACACAGTGCACACACAGTTAGCGTGGAATGAACATAAGCTACACATCTCAAAGAACAACAGTTACAAAAGGTTAATAACTTTTTTTTTCTTACCTATAACTAGAGGTTCTTTGTGAAGTGTGGTTCCTATCTGTTTTCCACCACCCACCCTTCTTCCCCTCTGCTTCGGATCCTGTCTAGTTCATGCTAAGAGGAAGACCTGGACAGGTGTCCATCTACACCCCCTCTTATTCCCTCAGTATAAAGAATGAGGGGAGCAACTACACAGGCAAGGACACTACTTGCTAGAAATCTCTGGTCTCAGGTGCATGGAGCACCTGCGTTCCACATGTGGCATAAGGATAGGGACCACACGTCTCAGAGAATGCCCAGTTACAGGTAAGTAACCTCCATTTCCAGATTTGCTACTTGTGGTGAATTTTTGGGTCACATTTTTGCCAATATAGACAAAGGAGGACCAAATTTATTATTGTTAGTTATTACTTTTATTACTGTGGCACCTAGAGGCTTCAACTGCAATTGGGGTTCCATTGTGCCTAGACACTGTGTAAACATATAGTACAACATATATAGTTGTTGCCCTGAAGTGCTTGAAATCTAAATAGCTAAAGACAAAGGGTGGGAAGGGAAATGGAAGCTCAGAGAGGTAAAGTGACTTGCTGAAAATAACAAAACAGAGCTAGGAATAGAACATACATCTTCTGAGCCCCAATTCAGGTCCCAATCCAGGGAACCACGCAGTTGATCCCCTGATGTCATGGATTTACACCAGCAGAATATTTGACTCATTCAGTTTTTTCTATAGTGGTATAAGACCAACACTCATGGAACAGTAAGAAAGAAATAGCTTTGAATCTTTCAGAGGATATGTGACTCTTCAGGTTTGATAGTTTGACTGTTTCCCTCGACATTTTAAAATTAATCAAAAAGCCAAACAAACATTAAAACTTGATGAATATTAAAGTTCCTGTGTGAGACTATGACTTCTGGAATTCCAGAAAGGATTCATAAGGAGTTCTTTGGCTATTTTGTGACTATATTTTACAATTATCATTCTAATATAGGATCTGGAAACACTTGCCTTCAAAGTACAATAGAATGTAAACCACTGTTTCAGAATTCAGAGAGCAAAGTCACAAGTGACATTTCAAAAAAGTAAGTATAATACTAGTTATTATTCAGTTCAGTAAAAGCATTGTCTATATTTGAGGGACATATGTATTATTAAATTTGTATCAGTGTGTCCCTGAGGTTTTGGGAAAGCTTGAGAACTAAGTAGCTGGAATACAAGCTCTAAAGTCAGAAGTTTGAACATTTTAAAAAACTACTTTAAATAGTTAATTTTTGAATTATTTTAAATAAACTTAGAAGTGGAGGGATAGAAATTGAAAGCACTGAACTTTGAGAAAACCATTTATGCTTATGCACAAATATCTAAATTATCCAAACTTTCTACATTTTCAGTTTTT